CCTTTCCCCTGTTCTGCATTTAGCGTCTGCTCCGAACTTGGTCACAGCGCCATGTTCATCCTCTAATCGTCGGACGTAATTAAAGAACGAATTCCTAGTCCATGATGAATCTCTACATGAAAAACCTTTACGGCGGGCTACTGAATAATTGTTGATGTCGGATAGCAAATGAGTGGGAAAGCTCGAGGATTCCGTGAAAAAAGTAACATTAGGACTACTCGCTCGACTAGATCCGCTCTATTATTAAAATGTATTATTTTAATTGATTAGTTGACGTTCTAGATATTTCTTTACACACATGTCACGATTTGTAATGAACGTCAACAATGTCCGCTTGTCCTTTTCTTAACGAGAAATAGCCAGCCAATAATACCGAAACAATAATAACACTGTCACAATGCATGCGATTATATAGAGACTGCGGTAGTATAAAGAGCGTGGCTATGTAGGGGAGCAGGGGAATTACATACCAATTACTGGTTTGCTTTTTTGCCCAATTAGCGTATAAAATGGTTGGGAAACTGCGCCAAAGGCTCAGCTACTCGATTTTTTTGTGCTGCACCACTAAAGCTCTTCATCTTTGAGCTGTCATATAGTATATAATCAATCAATCAATCAAGCGCACGCATAACCGGGAGCACAATTTTTCACGCTATAGCCTGCCGCTGCCTCTTTTATGGTTCCTATTGAAAACGTTGTCCTGTTTGAGTGTTATTCAAACGCATTTTCGATTATAATTTCAGTTTATACTATTCTATTGTCCAGGCGCGGTTGAAACCGTCCGTTGAAAGGCATGCCTCGTTGACACTGCGTAGACATGGCCTCGCCATAAATCGGGCGAGGTAAGGATTATAAAGCGTGCATTCGATTCCTAATTACCAAGTGAACGGAAATTTTATTAGTTACATTGGCTCGGGTGTACAGGTTGCATACCAATGTCCTATCATAATAATAACCATTATTATTATTGCGATTATTATATGTATTTACTTATTAGAAGAATTTTTATTATCGAACATCTAAAAAGTGTGAACAGTACCGCACATATACAGACACGTTTACATTCATACGTTGCAGAACTGATGCCATTGCGAAATCGTCAGTCAGTCAGCCTGTTCTCATGACTCGGCTAACGCATTGGTACAAATTTGCTATCTCTAAATTGGTCCATTTACCCGACTGGGTTAGCTAATATTCTCTCGAGTCGTCAGAGTCGCTGTCGCTTCCGCTGAGTGTTGAAGTAGGAAACAATGGCTAGTGCACGGGATATTTATGTTGCACTGTTTTGACTTCTCACGAAGAGGTAGCTGTTTCCAGCACCGTTGTAATGGATGCCGTTTGATCCATTGCTATTATGCCGACGGACGCTATCGCGGCAGCTAGCTCAGCGGCCTGTTAACCAGCCAAAGGTTCTATTAGTATTATACATGCATAATAGTGTCTATCAGATGAGTGCAGTATCCAGCTTTCATAGAAAACCGGCGACCGCAACGATAATAGCGCCACTCGTTATAGCTGTTCGCAGTTGGAAACTAGTGTCAGCACTGCTGAGTAGACTGTATGCTATTATAACATGTGTCCATTCTGACCGCGTGTAAGGGAAGACCTCGGCGAAGCAACTCGGCCTGATTGTCCGTCGGGCCGCTTACCTGTCCGTCGTCGTCGGGGCCCGTTGCTTTTCACGTTTTAGTGCGCTACGCAGTACCAAAAGTATTTCCACTGCAAGCGCAGTTGCACCGCCGCCGCCGCCACGGCGATCGCTCAGTCTCGTAAACAAGCAGTACGAGCAGTCCCCAAGTGTGACGCAATCCGCCATCGCCTTAATCATCATCGGGTCGTTGTTTCGTCCGTTCGTTAGACAGACAAACAGACAAGCGACAAAATTGCCATCAGCTCTGAAACTTGCTCTCACATAGACGATACACATCATGAAGGAGCCCAGCAGCGGCAAATCAGACCGCGGGCAACATGCCGGCAATCACTACTGGAGGTAGCGGTTTCCACTGAACAATTGATGCGATACTCTCATCGATAATGTTCTTACTGGCGAGGTGCAGCTATCCTGGACTACTCGCAGGATCGTCATGCTTCCTTTTCAAGCAGGACTGAGGTACTAGTTAGACAACAAAGACGACGATGTTGCCCACGGGCTACCAGCAACAGACCTTTGTGTATGCGTGCGTGCTCGGTAAATTGCGGCTTAATTTGGTAACCACAAGCCGTAGGCAGTTCGTTGTTCATCTCTCAATGCGATGTGATTATTTTTCCACTTTGCCGTAGATAGAAAGCAGCAGATGTAGGATCTCAATAGGAGAACGGCTGCAGTCGAATCACACGACAGCTCGGATGGTACCGGCGAATACGGGCACAGTCGCAACACAAGAACACACAAAGTTCCGAAACGTCGCTATTAACGATGGACAGCAGATAACATTGATTAGAAGAACCTATGACTGTAGCGTACTGTTCAACGGCTATTTTCTTTAAGGCGAATTAGGTAAAGCTAACACTACGGCTACAGAGGCGAGGAAGGACAAACTATCGGAATAAATCATAGCCACGTGTTATTTTTTGGAGAGAGAAGTGGGCACCTGTTTCGTCCAGTGTTTTTTTACCTATCCTTGTCTTCTGCGCACTGTAATCGGACTCTACACACTTAACTAACTTCGTTACTAACTTTGGTGGGATCACGTAGGAAGGATCGTGTAATCAGAGGATTAAGTTCTTAGCGTAACTGTGTACATTATAAATGCATATCTACTAGGTGGGTCAGACAAAACCCATCGTCATCAATCTGATTGATCTGTTCTGTTAACAAAGTGCGATACGCCCGGGCTTGCTGGTTAGTGCCTTATCATACTTGGCTTGCGCCCCCATCGTGACTACCATGTATAATAATGTCACCTGCAAAAACAACAAGCTTATACTGCAAATCTGCTCGTATTGTCGTTTCCATATGTTTTCAACGCAAGCTATACACACACACATATCGCACACGTTACTACATTGTTGTTCATTTCGTCCTTGCAGAGCCTATCTACGAAAAGTAGAGTTTCGGATGAATATCAGCTATCGTCATCTTACTGCTCTTACAGCTGCTATATCTGCTACTATGACGACTGCCGCTGCTGATGACGCTAAAAACTTACAAATACAACTGCAAGGCCACCGGGATTACTCCGTGTTGGAGGTCGCGTTCCCAGGGCCGGTTGCACGGTTCAGGGCCCCACGGCGCTACTACATCTGCCTCATAATGGCATTATAACGAAGGGAGACAATTACAATTGTCACGCAAAAAAGTCGCTACTGTCTGTGAAATCAGCCTAATTATAAACAAAACAATGTTCAGACGAAAACGAAGAGGCGAGCAACGGTTGAACGATTATCGGTTGTAGCTCTACGAGCATAGAGCAGAACAAAGCAGCGGTGACACGGTATTCAATGTAATTTCTGCGATACAATTAACGAATCATGTAGAACTTATACTAAAAGCGGTACATAAATCTATTATTTGGATATACTATTCGTAGCTATTATCCTATGGCAGAATACAACATTTACGGGTATTTTTTTCTATTATACCGACTTAAACGATATACATACACATATGTATATAACAGTATACGAAGTCAGCCTGTCAGACATAAATTTATAGCCCTGATCATCATCATAATTAGCGTCATAATCTAAAAGTTCCTGTAAATGAAGCAGACCGGTAATCTCTTCAAGTCGTGATAGCGGGTAAGACACGAACAAATATGCTGAATTGCGTCCACTTCTGGATCTACGTCATTCGCTCAATGGCAATTCTCTATTTGGAGTAAACAGAAATAGCGTACAGGCTTAATCGCCTACAGCCCCCTGTGAATAGCTTCCCGACGATTGTGACAACAATATGCGTTATACAGATCCACTCTCATACGAATGTACGTTATGTTTCGTTCAGACAAGTCTAAGTTAAGACAACTGAGCGACGTATTGAAACCGCTAGGAGTTCGTAGATCTTAGGCATTTCTTAGATTAAAAATCACAAAATTAGCCATGCGAAAATAAAAGACACGAACAAACACCAGCCAGTTATTTTACCCTGTGGCTACTTTCAACGACCGAAGAACTAAGATTGCGACTACGATGAATGTTTTTGGTTCTCGTTGTCACAGTGTCCACCATTGAAGATAATGTTCGTTTTAGTCGCTAGTGTATACGACGTCGGTATGGCGCTGGCAGCTAATATGAAGACGAAAGTAGACGATGGACGAAGAACTGCAACGTTCATTCTCGCTTGCCGTAAACCAGAACCGATGCCGTGAAGTAAATGAGCAGGGAAGGTAACAGGTGCCTGTTGTTATGCGCGATGGCGGTTTCGTTTGTTGTCGTCAAATCGCTATAATCACTGGCATCAAGAATAGAGCAGGTGCGTTGATCTAGGCACCTGGATACTGGCAGCAACAGTACAGGTCGCAATGGTGCGCTGAACAGCGAAGAGAATAAGCTAAGCTATACCGAAAGAGATAGTGTCAGTATTATGAGTCAAGCTCACAGGGAAGCAGTGCTAGATACCAAAAGATAGATAGAAAACTGGGAGATAGTATTGGATTGGACATTAACGTAGACACTCTGTGTGTGACTGAATGTGTGCACAGACCTGCCATTGCCTAGCCGCCTTGGACCATTCTCAAAGCCTCTAGGCTGCTCTGACATACTACAGCTATTAGTGTTTTCTATTTGGAAAGCCCAGATACGTGATGAAGAACAAAGAAACGCCAAACTCTTATCTTCTCTTTCAGCATTTCTCGGATACGGCCAAATTACATGAAGGCGGAAGACGCTTTCGAAACAGTCTTCTGCCCGCTAGAAGCCATATGGCATATACTCTTTGATCACTTGAAAATGTGATAAGATTGTTTACAATAAGCATTTCGTATTGCTAAGTATCAGGTATCTTCTATACGTACCGCATTTCTTTATATACGAAAAACATTAATATGTGACCGCTAATAATGGCCATTTATTGATGCTTGGTTTCGAGTAGAGAGACAAAGATGAAATACATTGTTTATTCTTTGGTGATTTTTGTTTATACAGATATTGTTAGGAGCGATACAACTGTACAGTTTTGCGTCAAACAGAAAAACATGTTACTAAAACCGACTTCCACCGGAAACATGCATGTATCAGCAAAAGGATTAATTCCTCAGTTTCGAGACTTCTTTCTCGCCGACGCTTCTTTGCCCTTTCTTTGTCGTCATTTTCTACAAACTTTAGCCAGGCACAGAAACGCACGTAATTCTGTCATTCTTCCGCGAACGCATAGACGAAACCTCATCGAGCCGTTATTCAGGATTCTCGTCGTTCCACTCACCGCCACTTCCCACAACCTTTCTCACATGGCGTATCCCTGTTGTGCTCGGATCTATCGTTTCTAAAAAAAAAAAACGACAAAGAAAATAGTACTTCACAAATATGCTTCAGATTTAGAGGAGAGACCCGATTGGGAGCGTCAGACTGCCTGAAGTGGGATACCGCTAAATCCAAACTCGAAACGGGACAAGTCAGGACCTGATGAGCAAAGTCACGAGCAACAATCCCATCAACACGAGCGTGTAGATGAAAAGGACAAAGGTGAAGATCAGATGTGAGGTCGCTTCGAACAACTGGCCAGACGCAAAAAAGGATAAAATCTACTATACGAAATACTAACCGAACTGGAAAAAATACAGACAAAAACACACACATATGAGGTCAATGGAAAAATAAAAGCAAAACTATAAGGAAAGGGGGAAAAGGAAAGGAAATGATCATGATGTATTAGCGGGAGATGATTCGGAATCACAAGTGACAGAACAACATAAGGATGGAAAAAAAGCTGTATTCTCACAATCACCAATCAGCACACAGTGAAAATTCACTGGTCCGTTCAGACGTATACGATCGATTTAGCCATGTTTGCACTACGCGTCATTTTGGTTATGTATGCAGAACCTGGCGTTTTTTGCTGGTCGCATCCGAGTCACTTATCTCATTATTGTTTTGGCTATGACGTGTTTCGTGCTTCTTCTCTAGAAGTGTGGCAGGGCCTTGCTATTTGACGCGTCGACACCAACATACACTCTGACTATAATAGCGCACCATCCAGTCGTACGATCGTAAGCACTGATTTGTCACAGCATACACGTCGAAGCTGGCAGCACCGAACTGATATTATTAAGCCCAAAGCGCTAGATACAAACATCACTATATATCCCCTGTACATAATATATATATAGAGAGAGAGAGAGATTAGCAGCAGCAGCGACGCGTGCCATAGTCTTTGGAACAGCAGCAGTAAAAAAGCCCGAGTAAAACACCTCAGATATTTCTGTGTATAATAAGAACACTAGCGTAGGACCGACGTACATATCCGGTGGATTGAACAGCCAAACAGGTGGAGCGACCCCTACCACAAGATGCTAAAGGTCGAACTCTTGTGTTCAGATTGTCGTTATTAAACGACGTGCAGCATCAACTACGGCGACGGCGTACGGGGGCGCACAATTGAGCCACTGCTGTTGCCGCTCCAGGCAGTGCAGTGGACGATGTTAGCTTCAGCTGCACCAGTGGTCTTCCGCATATATAATAGAATCGACACACCAAGATTAGCTTACGTCTATTAGTTCAATGTTTGTTCGTATGTACGCTTAGTATAATAATAAACGGCGATCTGGCGAACCATGCCGTGTATCCAAAATTGGTGGTGACGTATAACAGGCTTCACCAACGCTTTGCAGTTGCATTTTGCTGTACGTGTATATATCGTAGATATATGTATGTGTATACATGTACACGCAGACACATGGACATGCGCCGACGCGTGCACAGGTCATCAGACTCTGAATAACCGCTTCGCCGTGGCTGGCCGCGAAGACTGGTATGGTTATTGCGACACATCGAGAGTCGTTAGCTGCGGCCGCTTGAATGAACGTAGGGCTTTCTTTTGACAGGAGAACGGAGGATTGCTGTGTCTTCAGACCCGCACGCGACTGACACGCGGAGTTATACGTTCAATGACAATGGAAAATGTGGACATAATGGGACGCGCGCCTTTTTTTATTTATTACGTATTTTTTTGTGTTCAAAAAGCAATAGCCTTCAATGGTGCGTCGGCATACGCGTTAAAATGTTCCTCGACTCATGTACATTGTTCGTACCTTTAAAAACGAGCAAGAACTCACAATGATGTTTTTGCTGAATGTGAAAGCGGGTTATTTTGTAGAACCATCCACTTTGGAGGCTGCCGGGAAATTTATGACGATGATAGAGATGATCATTATTATATGGTACACGAAATTTATGTGCAGTGTCTGTAATAACTGCAGTCCGGCCACGCTCAGCTTGGCTTCTATCAACTTTCAGATGTAGTTTTGAGATAAGTTGTTTCGGGGGCCTCTCAATGAAATCGGTAGGGATCCATCTTCGGCAGGAAGAAAATCTGGTGGGAACGCGCCCCAACAACAACAGAACAATGCTTGAAAAACCATATGGTTGAGTTCCAAGAAGAACGAAGTAGTTGCAATGTATTTGTTTACGATGAGCCGTCTAATAGTCGGATACCTCATGCATATCTAGCGTAAATAGCGTCACAGGCAAAATCCTAGTGAGTGAAATGTCCGCTGTATTAACAATATACATTTTAGTCTGATTTCATATCTTCAGTTATACACCATATAAGTATTAATGCTCAATTGTAGTCTTACATTGACGAAACTAATCTCGTTTAAGACAATTAAACTTTCAAGACAAATTTGAAACTTCAGGGCCTATTTTCACTAGGGCGACTTCTATGTCCGTATGCGATCTTGCGCGCTTATATATGGGAACAGCTCTATGTGATTATGCGAAATTGTCTAACCGGCATTTCCTATATAACCGAATAGAAAAATGCGGAAATATCCTTACATTGGATAGACAGGTAGTGGAAAGTAGAACTAGGTGTAGATGACAATTTATTGGAGTATTCACACAGCTGTTCATTACAGTTTGGTTAGGTGAACGTTTTACGTCACCCAAAGTTCCGCCGTTTGCCGTTCTAGATGCATAGGATGATACCGATGACCGTAGAAAGGCTCGCCTGTGCAACGAAGCTTCCCCAATGTGTGGTACATACAATGCCGATATTTGTAGTTAATATAGAGATATTAGTATATGTTGGTAGCGAACATAAGCACAGAAAAGATGTAGCCTGTTTGGTACCTGAAAGTAATTAGTCCAAATAATACCGCTATCAAGACTAGTCGTCACAGCAGAGCCAGCATGACTAGGCAGCCGTAAAGCCATAGAAATGGCGAATACCCGCAGTGGCCATTACTATTGAGGGCCACCAATGATTATTCGCTCGATCGCATAGAGCTATCGTCAACCGCAAAAACAGCAGCGTTTCATACATGCTATGGAATATTGCAGCGTGGCCATAAGTTGAAATACGCCCATTCTTGCTACCACTGCCTTGGCTTGAAATCGGCGAAGTCACATCTGACTCAGTAGGACAATGCGTTATGAGCAACGGAAGGACGACTTCTGCTGATGAGCAGATGACCTTGGGTTGATACGAACCACTGAGATGAAATAGCCCTGTGCCAATGCCATGACACAAGTCCATGGACGAGTAAATACTATATTAGATGCCCTTTTTTCGGCCTCAGCATGTCAGCTTAGATGTGTCACTTAGCACAATACCCACCCAATGTATGATGCAAATATTGCTCTAGGCCATCTGAAAACAGAGCCAACCTGAGTGAACAATTAGCGAGTCAGCCAATTTCAAATTGTGTCTGATAGTATCCGTAGATGAAGTTGTCATTGCTGCTATGACTAACCATGAAAATGTACCCCAGTCAAATTGAGACACTCGTGTTCGTTGTCGATTGTTGTTGTGGGTCGTTACCTAATTGTCGCGCATTATGTAGTAGAAGATTATGGTGTAACCAAAAAACCGGGATTATTGAATTACGCTGCGCCATGAGCGATTATTTCAATAGGTTAATTACACGATCAAGTTTGGTATGCCTCTTACCTATAATGTAACGGTTCATAGCAGTCTGTGCTCAGCTTGAGGGTGTTAACGCATAACATTAACACGTGACCCTACGCCCACAGTATTCAATGGCATAAAAGACGTTTATGATGATATTGATATTTGTGCGGTGCCGGCTTCGATATGGCATAAGAACATCTCTGGCAGGAAACCATTGCACTAAGGAACATCATTAATTTTGTCATAGACTAGGAGAGATGTTTTTCTGCATTAATAGTTATAGTAGTTCTATACAATTAATCAACCGTGATGCATGGACCGAGCAGCTTACACGGACGAACACGGAACCGGGTGTGAATAGTCTAAATCGAAGCTGGCATAGCCTTAATGTTATCGTTTGCAACCGCAACTTTCAAATGCACTGTAATTATATATGAACCGCTAGCAACAGCCAGCCAATCGGTGTATAAATATACAATATACGTAGAACATTCAACCGGTCTACATACGACACATTCAGATACAAAAAGCGATTAAGAACTCGCAGCGCCCCGCTTCTCCGTGACTCAGTAATTTTTCACTGGCCTGCTTGTACTGTACGACGTGTCTCGACTTGAGCACATTAACACTGATCGGCCGGATCACCAAGTTAAACTTCTTCGAAGTGCTGCTCTTCCATAAATTCAATTCTTTCACATTTCACTCACCTTCCTTCTCTTAACTTCTTTTAAACGCCCTGCCATCCATATATGTATATATGGATATATATACGTTTGCGTCTTTTATGGACCACTGGAAAAGGAATCAAAATTAAAACTGTCTCGAAACTCCTCGTTCGTGCATATTCTGTTTTTCACCGCTGGAGGCGCCACTATCAGACGCTGCGGTCGTGGTCGGCCCAGCTCGCTGACGCATTTCCTGCCGCCAGCGGAATATTCCCATCGCTGTTGTTGTCATCTTCGTGAGCGGCATCGCGGTCTGTACATACGATCATCACGCTCGGCAAAAACATCCCATAGCGTCGCGACTATGAAAACATTGTATTTGATCTACATGTGCTGGACGTCACCGCTCGCTACCGCCGTTTCCTTTAATCGTTCTCCGCTCTAATCTGATAAAGTCTTGGTACATAGCGCAAGTGGCACAGCTAGTTTAAAGCTGACGATTGCCCAATTCGGGTTTGAAGAATTCGAGTCACGCTTATTTGGAATTATGTCCACCTGTTCCCTAGTTATTAGGGCCACTCTCTTCTTTGCCTCTTCTTGGCTGCCCTACCTTTCTCTGGAGAGAACTGGCATAGAGCTCAAGTGCTCACCGTTGGATTAACATGGCCAAAAATGTTAAGCATTAAGTTGAAACAAACTAAGTTGCCTGAACAAAAGTCTTTATTTTAGGACCCCTGAGAGACGGATTCGACAGGCGCAGTGTATTTACCTCTTAATTGAAACACTTGTAATGTGGAACATAGCCTATATAGAGGTGAAAACAATTGACGCTCAACTGGCGTGTTGTGTATTATTAGATAACGAGAGATACAAAATGTTTAGGTCCATTAAAATATTCAAGACCCGTTTAACATATGTCGATAATATCACCTTCTGTGGAAGCTCTATGCAATATAGAGTCCCCCCTTGACAAAGCTGACAATAATGCGTTAGTAGTAAATAAAAATACAGAGCGATCTTTACACTACCAAACTACCTTTTGATATTCAAGCCGGAAGGCTACTATCTTTTTTCGTTCAGCAAGCAAGTACAACTTAATTGTCAGCTGCACAGTCACAAAGTGTGTTCGGCCTTATCGGGCTAATCTGTATCAAATTTACCTATCTATAGCTATTTTACACCAAATATACAATTCCAGAAGAAATGAGTCAGCAGATCAATAATTTCTGATACTACCATTGGTATATACGATTTAATTCGCTTTCGCTACCCACTAAATAAGGTAGCTCTTTGTTAAAAACGACACATCAGCGAATTTTCCACTTAATTTCTTTTCTCCTTCCGGTTGATCTGGATCAACTAATTTTGATCATTCGGAATATCTAATGCGTATTTAGCGTATTTGTTGCTCACACATATTTAGTAGTAGTAAATATATAGTATTTCCAGAATTTGCACTTGCAACAATCGTCAATAAGGAAAATGCAGTCAGCCAACATCAATTTGCGATTACCATAGGTCGAATGCGATAAGTAGAAACCGGCTGAAGCCCCGCTGGCAACATAAACAACGTGAAAAAGTTCTGAAGCAGTATTTTATGCATGAATTATCAAAATTCAGATTATCAAAAGTAAACGTGCTAGTACTGAGCTCAATTCACTCACTACACGCACATCGAGATGATTTGACGTCAACGTCCCAGATTGTCTGAGCTGCAATAAGTCCTTACCGTTTTTCACTGCTTTTTTTTTTTAAAAATGCGCGACATCTCTCTAGAACTACTAATCCCGATGACGTATTCGTCCAATTCAAGAAAAAATATTGACAGATGAATAATAACTGTTCCCATCTGGTCTTTCATAACACTCAATGAAGGACTCACTAAAACTTTATGCTGAATTTGAAAACTCCTCCATTAATAGAACAGCAGTTTTTGCTTAGTATTCAAACTATATAATTGGAAGAGCAAGCTTCATATGCAGTCATCATGGATGCGCGCGCCATGACATCCTGTTGCCAACTTTACGATTTAAAATGCGCTAAACGGATTACACTTACCCGCACCAGAGCCCACGCCGGCACGAGGAGGTAGCCTTTACGTACGGGTCGCTCCCCGTTTTCTTTGTCCACTTCGCGCATCCCTTCAAGCGTTTTTATTTATCCCAAATTGGAGTTACTTTAGCGCTTCTCCAAATGTTGCTGTTCTTATCTATAAGCAGTCCTTCGATGAGGTTCGTTGTGCGTCTAGGCGCAATGCTATCCAATATGGGCGCGTACAGCGCCTGTTTGGGCTATTCGTTGTGTGCTAGTCTTGATGTTTTTCCAGTATCACTAAATTAACTACACTTCCTAACAGTATCCGACTGGCGTTCGATAATGAAAGTAAATTCACTATGCATGTGTTCTGTAATTCCACTATAATCATTTAAGCAAAAGAATAAAACTTCTCGAGTCGACAGAAGCCACCGGCTCTTATTGGATTCTCCAAGCAACTTCAGTTGTAACTATTATTGCGTTTTCTTTCTCTAGTGCCGTACTAAGTGAGACGATTATTCTCTGATGTCGCTACCACTTCTCAGAGGTCTTATCAAGCACACAAAAGCTGCCAACTGGATGACACTATTCCAACGAAATGTTTGACTACCGCACAGTAATAGCGACATCAGCAGCAACACCGCGCGACGTCGTCTCACGACGAATTTCCACGATGCTCCGTCTCGACCCAAGGCTAAGCCGGTACTAGTAGAGCGCTTTCGGTGCGCGTTTCATCCATGCTCCAACCACTCGCCACCAATTGTCATTTTGAGAGGAGGAAACCAGGAGTATCGCGACGATCGTGCGCCGCTCCGTACGCTACGACCCAGCCAACAAGAACAGCCAGCAATAAAGATGCGAAACTTTGTTGCCTCACAGAACAGGTAACCAGCTGGCCGTCGTCTCCCATCCATCCACGCGGACATCGGGCTCGCAGCCAATCAAAATGGACTTCCTATTTTTCACCCATTGAGTTGCGCGCGGTTTGCTTTCGAAGTGTGGCCGGACTCTTACCATCGTGTGAACGTCGACATTACCTCGAAACCGCCAATGCAACGTTTGCGAACAATGCAATTGTCAATAGGTTTGTAACCGCAATTAATTACATGTTCAGTGTCACTTCACAGAATGCTCCATGCTGTGCAAGAACAACCTCCACTACAATTGCAGGGGCGCTGATTAAGATGCCAAATGCGAGTATCACGTTACCGTCCTTAGAATCGCTTCACCATTCACTGTTTGTGTCGATCTGCTGCGTCTAGTGATCTGGCGCCGTATTTAAAAAAAAAACAGCGCAGGCCAACATTCGAAATTGTGCCACAACTCCATCGTATCATTGTTCACAGTGAATATTGTGTTGCTGGTGGGTATTATTGAGAGGAGATAGACGAAGTAGTAAAAACAGTAGCAGCAGGCGGGTTGATGCAACTTCATTGAATCTATATATGTGAGATGCGAGGGAAGAAAATTGTGCAGTTTTCTGAAACGCATAAAAAACTAGTATAACACGGCATATTATCGGCGATTAATTACACAGGCACTGCGATAATCTCGTCCAGAACAACGAGTGTGCGTAGAGACTGTAAGGGCGCGAAACGCCGTGCTAGTGGCCAGCGTTCACCGTGAGTGAACGAATGTAATCGAAAACCATTTTCTTCCAAATTGCTGTTTCCTTATGTGTGCGTGTTTGTGCTAGAGCTCGATTAAAAGGTGAGTTATAGCAGTTGTTATCGTCAACCTTCAGGAGGGAGTGAGGTTACGCTATTGCCTCGATGATGTCTATAAAAGAAGCGAGTATATGTTAGCTGAATTTTTTAACATAGCACCTCGTAAACTGTTGATAAGTTGTTGTTATATGATTCGTACCTGTAGTTTTTCTTTCTTCCGCTGGGTTTCCAACTTGTGAGAAGCAGCAATCATCGCAGGACAGCTGAGCTTTGTTTAGTTGTGGTGTTACTCTCTCTTTGATATCTGCTACCAATGAAAACTGTGTTATTCGACTACTATTTATTATGAAGTGTTATGATCGCTGAGTTACTTTGCCGACAATGGAGGTAATAATAAACGCGACAACGTCGATGCAATCCGGCACAGCTCTCTGATCCTACACGATCGTATTGAGTAACAGTGTCTGTCGGGGCGTCTGTGTCTACCGCATTGACCCACTGACGATAGCAGCGTAACCTTCGAACAGGCAGCAAACCAAGCAAAAGCTGACCAAACGCGGTTCCTGGGACTGCTATTAACGATGGCACAGCAACAGCAGCTCAACATAGACAACAAAACAGCTGAACTAATCTGAATTGAATTCAGTAGGCACGTTGAGTAATTCTAGCTAGCAGCAACAAATATCTGTTAATATCTGCCCTGCAACAGTCAAAGGCTGCCCGCTCCTATACGGTTGACGAATGTTAGGTTACAGCAAGACAATGCATGATTGTAGCTCTGTGAGCCATTGGATCAACTAGGGACGAGAAGAATACTTAGCTGACATGTCAGGACAACCGTGGTGATAATAGTGCCGTCCTGGTGAGACATAGAAGTAGACCAGTATACATTTTCTAATGACTCCTTCATGCAGTAGTGGGTGAAACGATGATAATCGTGCAACCAGAACAAATTGTGGAAGAAAATGTTACTTAATGTAAATCTGGACTCCTATATCGTGGCTAGTCCAAATTCCGGTCTATTGGGTTTGTAGCATCGGTAGTGACACAAATTTCGCCTAAAAGCCCAGGCAACTTTTTACGTAGAGGTACAAAAATTAAGCTAGCTAATTGATGACTACGAAAAGCGCCGCGAGGATAAGAATCAACTGATAAGTAGTATGTCGTACTAGCGCGTTAATTGACGAAATACGTGACTTTAACTGAAATAAACGACGCACTTTAGTTTTAAAAAAATGTAATCACATCCCCGTTGTATACTCATTTGTTAAGAATCTGAGCACGTTTCCTTCGTAACTGCATAAGCTTGTGGGAACCGTCACTTTGGTTGACTAGAATAGCCATGCACAGAAAATAGGGTAACACAATAAGAAACGCTATCGAGAAAATACTACACGTTTAAATTGGTTTGCTACACCAACAAACAGGAAGTATACAATCTTAGCGTTTACTTCGTTTTACTTTGTTGTTGTATCTATGACAGTTGGTTTACAAAAAACTTTGCAGCAATGAGCCCTAATTCAGCGTGCGACAAAATAGATCCCTGTTCTGTTCGCATTTTGACGCCACAAATGAGGTCTTATGGAAGAATATTCCAGTATTCTAAGTTATCAAAAAAACCCTCTTTTGAACGTTTGTGCTAGCTTTTTGGGGTCGTTTACCGAAATCTGTCGAGTTCTGGGACAACATCAGGAGAACAATTAATAGACAATGTTACACCATCCTGATTTTCATACGTGCATAGAGAGTACTGCTGGTTCTTATATTTCGACAAAGTCACGAGTGTGTTCAGAAGTACTTCGCTGCTATTGGCGGATGCATTTATGCGCTATACAACAATTACATACACTCACAAGCCACAGAAAGTCTAGTCACCATCTTGTCAGAGACAGTAATGTCAAGGCCTTCATTGTCATAAGACCACACCATGACTACATCAGTATCTTAATATGGAAGCTGGTAACCTTATGGTATACAATAGGAAATTTTTTATCGCGCACGAACAAAAGATTATTGCTTGAAATGTTAGGTCAAACTGCCTTAGACGTATAGGAATATCGTAGTATTCTGCTTCAAGTCCTGTTAAAAAACAAAACAGGCAGAAAGTCTATTCTTTCTGAATACATGTTTTTACAGCATTCTAATATTGATTATAAATCATTGGATTTTATGGAAATGGCATTGATGAAATCAATTATATTTATTTCGCTTTGTTTCTATGTGCTTGTATGGCCTCGCGTATAATGCATATATACCGTTTAGGACGTAGTATACAACATATAGTAGAACACATTTAACCGTATGCTTCTTTGCAAAGATTAGCCTTTGTTGTTGCAGCAAAAATTATAAATAATTTTCTCAGTGTTAGCAGTCAAGTTGGGCGCTGGCCGTAGTTCATTCTGAATGCCATTGTGAGCGCTACAGAGAGCAAAGAGACTGATGCACATTGGCCCCGTTTAGAGTACGCTTTACGCTTGACATAAATCTGTAGTTGCATATTGATGGCATATTGTTGGTGAATTTTCCTCGTATAGTCATTATCATTCTGATGTATCGTATATATACCACGCTTCGTGTGTATTTTAATTGAAGGTAGAAAATCTATGTAATTTCTGGAACCATACATCTTCGAATTATTTTATACTTAATTATTATAACAATATATTTCACCTCTGCGGTCTGGGGCTGAGGGGTTTGCCAATCGAGTGATTATCATTATTACTTCTACCCCTGTGCTGTGATGATTCAAAAATCCAGTTAAACTCACTTCTGATTATGTCTCCGATTTGCTTTAAGAAATACACTTTAGAAGATTGCCTCTAAAATGCTTTGCAATATGCATTATAAGGCCCAGTTGAAATAAACGGCTCAAACAAGCAATTTCATTTTTTTATTTGGGTTTATTCACCGATAAAAGAACTGTAACACTTATAATGCACGCATGCAGTTCTCTTTCCAAAACAAGCATACGCGCCTTCTCTTTCAATACCCTATTATCCCATTTCATTTATAATTTATTTTATCGCCGTCCCGTTTACGCTGCGTTTCAGTCTGAAGGAAAAGCTACACAAAAAGTGGTACTTCACAAAGGAGGTCGAGATGTCTAGCGCAGCGGGCCCGTCGACTTCTGGCGGCTCGCAGGAGGCAGGGAGTTCACGAAGCTCAAGGAATTCGCAGAGTGGCTCATCTGAGCTGGCAGCGCCCCCGCCACCTCCACTCGAATCGTTATTTGCCGCGTCTCGCACCTCCAGTCAAGTAGCATTGCTATGTTTGTATTTCCCGATCGGGATTATCCTTGCACTATTAAGATTCTTCATTTGCTTACACGCCTTCCTTGTGACGTTGATGTTGCCAAAAACTTCTAAGGTTCGATGGTGAGTGGATAATAAGCTCTGACATCAATATTACATATGACTACAACAAGAAGTATATTGCAGTTACTATCATTATTAGTCGAAATAGGTAATGTGCCGTTAAACTGCGATTCAGTTCCGTCAACGATCGGTTAACTAATGTACAAAACGCTCAGAAATGTATTAAGCTGACAACTGACGTTTTGCGACATCATTGCTGAGTATTAACGTAGTTTTTTGCGTTCGTTTTTCGCCAGTTGCGTGGTACGCGTGATGTGTACCGTACTGGGGCTGGTGGTGGTAGAGGAAGACAAAAATCGGGATCCTGACGTAAAAGTGTTCGTCGCAAATCATGTTTCTATCGTTGATCATTGGCTACTCGACGTTCTCACGCCCTGTGTTTTGGTCTGTATAAAACGCCACCAAAATGATAACCATATAAGCCCTTTTCACTGGATATGAATGCAGACAAATTAACATCTAGTCAATGGACAAAACAGATTGTTCCTTGTAAGGGAATACATACACGTAGTATTCAACAAACGTAAGACGCTGAACAAAACCTCTGTTACATTAAAAAATCGCGCGACACAAATAAAAAAAAATATGACAAAGTATTTTCGGGCAATATATCTGTATTACTGCATCTACCCTGAAGTAGAGATTCAGAGGTATGCAGACTTCTGCTTAAATACGATTATTCAGACACAGTGAGCACGATGGAGGCACACCTGGGTTCGAATTAACACCGACCCACCCATCATAGCGAATATTCAGTTTAGCATTGGGTTATCTAACCTGTCTTTTTAAAAAATAGTCATTGCGACAACATTTGATTGCTTGTATTACAGCCATCTGTCTGGGATCTGCCCAGCGTTTTAAATTGGGGCCATATCTATAAGGAGTTTGGCTCTTCAACGCAGCCTGTTGTATCGAGCTTGAAGCAACATCTGGAAACGCAAAGCACAGGACTGCTTTGTTTCCCTGAGGTGTCAATCACAAATGGTTCGGCATTACTAAAATTTAGCCAGTTGTGGCCATTTGAACTGGGCGCGCCTGTGCAAGCGGTCGCGATAAAGGCAACTCGGACATTGTTCCGGGATCTTGCTCTGAGTACCCTTGAGAGTACCTGGTTATCCGACATGCTCTGGATGCTATTTTCGCCGTGGACAACTTTCCGTGTATCGAGATTGCCCGCGGTTAGACGCGGAAAAGATGACACAGCCGAAGAGTTTGCGGCCCGCGTGGCCGAGATGCTAGCCGCGCAATTGGGTGTCAAGACGACACCGCACACCTACAAGGACAAGGTAAGGATGAGCAGGAGACTCTACTTATTTACAACTAGTTATACTATCGTCAAAGGCGTTGAAATATAAACGTTTTTCAGTCAGCACGATTTCTTTATGTTAAATGAACATTACATAAGTCGATGTATAAACTGTGTTAATTGCAAGAGGCCCGTAAGCATTTTGATGTCACTGATATCGTTGTTGCTTGCTAGGTAACTGGTTTTTGAAGTGCCGCGAGGTAATGCTTGATTACTACGAATATTATTGTACAGCTCGATATATGAAGTAATTAGTATCACATCGTGGACAGCAAGCCTTTGGCGGTCGTCGACCTTTCTTTGATTTGCTCTTTGCTAAGTATTAAATGATGAGTAAACGCAAGGCGAGAATAGTTGCATTTACTTAATGCAGAACGCAAGCGACCGCAATTTTTCATTCTTTACCTTATTTTCTATATTTCAAATAGTTGGACATTGTAAAGCGACGTAGAATTGAACGCGTTGCGCGGGAACGACGCGCGGAAGAAGCTCAAGCATTGGCCAATCCGGAGTTGATGCGTATGGCCGGGCAGGTGAAAGAGGTTCTCCCGGATGTACCGCTTGCAGTGATCGCTCGGGACCTTCAAGAGACTCGTAGTGTAGATAGCACCATTAGTCGGCTTGTTGATGGAATTGTCCACTATGTGCCTGAAAAAGTGAGGGTAATTTGACTTGAGTATTACATTATGTTTACGCATTTTAAGATTCTCCCAAATAAGTAACAAACTTAGTCAAGAATCTTCATCTGTTTTCGGTCTGTTTTTATCAAAATTATTCTGTCGTCTTATATTGGGAGTAATGTATGAATTTTCACAGGTACTTTCTCCACAGCCACGCCAGAGCACGTCCACGAAGAAAGATTCACCTGTCAATGAACTGGTAAAAAATGCGGTATGTTAAAGCTTCCATTCTGTTTATTTCAGTTTGTTAGTTGTACCCCTATCAAAGTAGATGATAGATAGATTATATCTAATATGTAACTATATTCGGGTAATTTTGATCACCATATAGGCTTTAATGGACTATTATTTCAGGAAAACGCGAAAGTTATGTTTAATACGTCTGCGAGTAATTTTGGGTCGACCGCTGAGGAACGGTTTGCGTCCTACCAGGAGCGAAAGGCCCGTCTGATCGAGAATGCACGACTTAAGTACATCCAGAAACATAAACTGAAATTGTAATAATAGCGATCAATGACATCAGCAAAAGGCCAAGTTGAAAATAAAAAAAAAATATCAAAATGATACAACTAAACGAGGCCAAAGTGGCATCGTCCTCAAAAATAATGTCCAATACATGCTAAGATCATTTTCCTCTGCCCATACAAATATCCATCCCTTAACTCTTGACCACTTGTGAATTTACATCTAGTTATAAACAGAAAAAGATAGAGTGCTATTCAAATATTAGAAATATGACCATCCTGAACCCAAGGGGGTAATCGGTAAAGACTATCTGGGTGTACGCTGTTAACGCATCAGTTGGGTCACATGCAACAACAAAGAAAGAGGTCTAAATGTAGATTTTTCCCCAAGTCGTACACGTAATTATTATTACTACGGATCATTATTGTCAAAAAGGATTACGGAAAAATATATGTGTGTGCTATTTAAATATGAATACTTAGTCTTATGATTTAGGCACGTTCGATTTAGTTATGAAAAAAAAAAAAGAAAAACAGGCTTCAATTTCGTTTTCGAGTAAAATCTTTCAAGCGAGTGTATTCCTCATCCAGTAATGACACGTCGATACTGGGTCTGTCGACAGTCGACTTACACTGAAAATTTGATCCCACCTTAGTTATCTGCGCAGTCGGTGCTAAGACCGACTATCCTCGAGAATGAACGCGGCATAAATTCAAATCTAAACGCATGAATGATTCTTTAGTTCAAAGATGCCATCAAAAAATTGATTTTAGTTGTTGGAATCAATACTAGACTACATCGCACCCTACAAAAAGTATGGGAATCTCAACGCAAACGATTTTTCGGTTTAATCACGACCGGCATATGCCGAGCTGCCGAAATACAAAACTTGGTAGTGTACCTAACAGTCGTATGTATGCCCACCCAGTAACCAGAATCATCTCAGTACAGGCGACTGTATGTTAATGAGAGACAGTTGGAAGCTATCTTCATCATTTTCTTATATTGGATAATCCAAAGACAGCTAAGATGACAGCGTGAAAATGGTGGTTGTCATAGACTCCAAGTTTGGAATACTTAATCAAAAATTAATCAAAAGGCAGGCCAGTAAAAATATCCTACTTATCGGTAAGCATCTTAAGATTCGTCTATTTCTAAAATGCAACAATAACCAAGGTTGAAATACCAACAAAAGCTTCGTGTTTTCTGGTCTGTTTGGCTCAAGCAATTAATGCTGTTCACACATTGTTCATGGCGAATCACTAGAACAGACCAAAACACGCTATTCACATCCATCCGCTTACAAATAATAACTTCTCTTTTTGAATAGCTTGTGCCGTATTTGTCACATAGGTTTTGTGTGTAGTATACAAAGAAAAACACGTATGTAGCATATATAACACGTATAATTACTAGAATTTATCGGATAAGGCAAATCCGACATCTCTGTATTAGACTTACTCATAATTGTTTGATGACCCTCAGATCTTATTTTCGTAGTTAGACGATAGTGGGTTTAAGTTCAAAAGCACAGTAAATGAAGATATTATGGAAGACTATAAGCAGATCTTGTAGAAAAGGAGGACTATACTTGTAAAATCGCAACTATTTATTCTTGAACTAATTTTTCATTATTCTGCTTCTGATAGTCTACGTTTTGAATACGTAATTAGCATTGATAATTCCTATGGTGAACGCGTTTCTTGTTTTGCTTAATCTATAATATTTCTGGTACAGAACCAACACTCATAAAAAAAGCAAGACACGCAACCGTGTAAAATATTTAAAATTTGTATTTATTATTATTTCGATCATTCGCATCATAATTGTCGTCGTTATTTAGAATTGTTCTTTTGCCGTTACTGGTCCTGTCGTTGTTACTATCATCTTAGCAGTTGCTTCCTCTATTTTTCATCATATTCGGTCGCCGACACAATATCCACCTTATTCTCTTTCCTCTTATCTCTATCCCCTTCGGAAATATCGTGACCAGCACTTACCAGCGCTCAGCATTTCCATGACGATCTGGATCAGTAATCACATCTGTCCTTTCACGACACTACTCACATGTGCTTTGTCTCTCTTTCAACTGCCGCGTTTCTTTTATCCGTCAGTTCCTTAACTTGATCAGCGGAGGCCAACATAATCTAAAGGTTATACCATAATCTTAAACAGCATTATCATCATCACCTGTGTCATTTTTCACATTATTCAATATGCCCTCTACTCAGTCCTCTGCAGTGATGTATGTTTATATGACACTCATGTTCATAATCTTCTTCTTTATTTATGGAAGAATGATGAAGCAGGTTCTATTCATAAACACAAAACGTTTTTAACTAATGGACCATAGATGGAGAAAATAGAGGTATGCTTTGTGGTATATATATATATATATATATGAGGCGAATATGAATGTTGTTTATTTTGCTTCATTTTTATCTCTAAGATTTTTCAGTTTGTCGTTTTGTCTGTGCTTATGTATAGGTATGCGTTGTGTGCGTGTTTTATCTGAATACGCTGAGAGTGTTCACGAACGGCAATGGCGCAGAAGGCAAAGATGGACAAAGGAGCTAAGTAAAAAGTTGTTTACATCATTTTGCACCTGTTCAATCATCGAAAAAATTACGTGGCACGATGGAAGTGTCGATTCAGTTCCCAAATGTACACTATCTGCTTCAGTATCACCAAGTATTACCAAGCTTTAGAAACAGCCAAAAAATAAAGGCCTAATTGTCGCAGAGAGTCCGTCACCTGCACAAAGACTGAAACACTAATTACAAGCTAAGTGTAATTAATTCTGTCCTACTGTGACCACTGCCATTAAAACTCGTTGGGTTTTTCATTAAATATATATTAAGAAGGGTAGGTTGAACGAATTATCAAGAAGAAGAGGAAAAATTAAGCAACGTCGTTTGCCTTTTTTGCCTTCATACAAAATTCCAAAACATGCTTTATTCTTCAGCTGTTCAATCCGTGCAAAACGAGAGTAAAACACTTATGTGATCATCAAACTCTGGCGAGTACTAGGAGCCCGGTTCTGTAAACCTCTATGATGATTTTCTGTTAGTCCTCCCGCATGGTTCCATCAGCCGAAACAGGCTATTTAACACGGCATACGATCAATATGGAACGTATAATTTGTAAATTCACGTCTTTTTTTTCTCTCTGCTTAATGCCTTGTTTTAGGTATAGATTAAGCAATGCCCATCAGCGAATAAGTCGGCGTTAAGTAAAAGTTTTATGGCATCTAATCCTTTGTGTTGTTTTATTCGCCAGAGTCGGCATATGCATTCCCTGTATTCTGTATGTCAAAAAGTAGCTTTACCTTCCTCTACTAGTCTCTTATTTTCTTCCCTTTTTTAATGTCACCTACCAACTGCCTAGAGTAGCTCTCGCCGCGTTAGCGATGTAAACGTAAACATTACAATTCAGTATCAGCAATAGGCAGACCAAATCTTCGGTATGTACAATAGCATTATGTCATACAACTATCTCATCTTACTAGTGTCTTCATAATCATCGCCGTAATTATTAGGTACATTCATGTTCATATATATATATAAGCATCATTCAGTTGTAACTGGCCAATATTGATAGCATATGCCGACCAAGGCAAGTTTAAGCCAGTAACACGTATGTACATGGCCATCAGCAAGCGACCGGTTACAAACGATGGGGAGCATTGGTTAACATCCGATCGTCTGTGTTTGCATCATCAGGTGTATTAGCAATAAACGTATTGTCAGTGCCTAGTATCTGATTTTACGCACCCTTCGTCGTTAGCTACATATATATGATGATGTCCTAAACCTTAATATGTAGAATTTCTATGTTTTACCTGTCTGCTAGGAATTAGCCAACAACATTTTCGGAATCCTCCGCTACATCTATAGCGAAAAAAACACGCTTCTGTTTTACTCTGACGAAATACTATTGATATTATGTTGGTATGAGCTCTGCCATGTTCACAGATATTAATGAACGGGTCTTCGCTTACGAGCTCTTAAACTAGAAATAAGGTAAACAATCAGTGGATTAACCAGCATTGCTTTATCGCACTTCCGACAGTATTGTTAGCTCAGTTAAACAAACCCTCTTAGAGCTTACAAACTGTGAGATTTTCTTAGCATCGTTGCCTTTATTTAAAACTATTCCAATAGCTTGATCAGATATTGTTCTGGAAGAAAAGAAATCAAAAATACAATTAAAATAATACGCTTACCCTTTTAATTTATTTATAATCCGCTTGTCACCTTTCGTTTTACCTATTACAACTTGCCGTGAATACAATTTTAACTTCATTATATTCAATATAGTATGTGATAGAAGCAATCATTTTTCAGCCCGTTTCCCTCATCGGTTGCATTACGTAATATATGTTGTGTTGCCTCGTTACCTGTCTTAGTTCTTGGCCACAACAACATTTTTGGTGCTCTGTAGTTGTTTTTCTGTTGCGTGGCATGTCGATGATTTTTATTTGTCCATTTAGTATTTGTTACTACTAGCTATTGTTATCATTGTTATTTTCCACGTCGTTGATGTTAAACACGCTGCGTATCGAATCAGCGTCCTATCAATTCCTGTTGTGTCCTTATACGTTAATGTTATTATAACTGTTCTACATTTGCCAGACAAGTTGGAACCAAGTGAAATGTATAATTAACAAACAGCGTATTATATATGTATGCATGCGCAACATGTGTGAATCTTACGCCGAAAGAAAAATGGGCCACAAATTTACAATCCGACAAATTTTAAATACATTTATTAGTACTGTCACATTAGTGACAAGCTCACCGTAATCATTTTACAGCAGATTCTCCAGTATTTCCCCATTTCGATGTCGCTTTGCACAGTTTAGAATCGTTACATCTACTAGCTGTTATTGTTAGTTCAGCCATATACGAGATCGTTCTCTAGATTTTTCCAATGAAGAAACGGCCACCACAACCAACTCGGCAGATACATTGAGTGAAAATCAGGCATACAAAAAATAAAAAAGAAAAAACACATTTGATGATTTTATCATTCGTAAACTTTCACAACAAAACTCTGTACAACATGTATTTGTTCTGTTTACTTATCGTTTCAGATCATCAGTAGAGCAGTGAAAAATAATGAAATATAAAAGATACCACCTTCTTTGTTCTGTTGGTTGAAGAAGGGTGATAGCGTGACATCACTGATAGCTTGCGATACTGTTTTTTTTCCGCTCGATGATGGCCAATACCACCAATAATTAATAAATATTTTTGAATGCTTTGTTGGACTCAGCTAGCGAATTTAAGTCAACTTAACAAAAAGAAAATACACAACGACATTAAAATATTTAAAATTTGTATTTATTGTTCTTGTTGTTTTCACCATTTTCTTTTTCCATGTGCTTCTCGTTTTCAACTTCGTGGCGTCAATAATAATAATCACTATCTAATCTAATCTAATCTAATCAGTTGTTGTTGCTTTTGTTTTACCGTACAGTTTTTTCCTGTATGGTAAAAACTATAATAATAATAATAATAATAATAATAGCAATAAATGTGTCTTTTCTCCAATATTATTCTTAACCCTAGTTATTATTTGACCTCCCTCCTGTTTCTGTCAGAGCTGCTGTCTTCATGAAGTTTATCTATATGTTTGTATTTATATATATGTACTTATGTATATATATA